GGGTGAGAGGGGAAGGCTTATATACGGGACGGGGGGTTGAATTGTGGCCGTTGGATTATTGATGATCAACGGCCTTGATCTCTCAGCTTAAAGAGACGATGTCGTTTGGTTTGATATTAGGGATGGGTCAATCCGGGTATCAGTGGATCGGGTATCTGGGGAAAGCTTGAGAGCCGTTGGATTGGGAGGGATGAACGGCTCCGGTTGAATACCCTTATACGGCGTTGTTTGGTTAACAAATGGGAGTTGAATTGGACCGTTAGATACGTTTGATCAACGGTCCAGATCCGGTAGGTGTTAAACGACGTCGTTTGGTGAGGCCATGGAGATCAGGGGACCAGACTGGGTCATGAAATGAATTGGGCCTGATTCTTGGTCTCAATTGTAAACCCAAGTCTGATTTTCTTCAATTTTGAACTTTTTTCTTCTTTTAATTTCTAATCTAAACACAATTCCTAATTAAAATGTAAAAATAAAAATAAAACTACACAAATATTAATTAACACTTAACAACAATTATCACACACTTTAAACATTTAATTAAAATAAAATCACACAATGACAAACAAAAAAATGCATATTTTTTGTGATTTTTCCTTTTAAAACCAAACTATGGTTTGATTAATTCCTAACAGTAGAACGAAATCCTAATTTTACACGCGACATATATTTTTGTATTTTTTAATTGGTAAAACTAAACAATCACAGATAAAAACTACAAATAACTATCAAAATGCCACGCAAATTCACAAAATTATACACAAACACAATTTATTTTTTTATATATTTTTTTCCTTTTTTGGAGTAATTGTTGCGTAAACAAAAATCACGTGCTCACAGGCATTATGTAAGCGCGCATCAGAAAGATTGGGCAAGGCTCCTAGACATCGCCCAATTGTCTTATAACTTGCAGCGGAGTGAGTTCACGGGGTGGACACCATTTGAGCTAGCCACAGGCCAACAACCACAAACTCTACATTCATTACCAGCCGCGTTCGAGGGAAAGAGTTTGGGGGCTTATCATATGGCCAAAGGATGGAGGAGGAGCTCGACACTGCTAAGTCCTACTTGGATAAAGCAGCTAGAAGATGAAGAAGTTTGCGGACCGAAAGCGGCGTCCCACAAACTATAGAGTTGGGGACATGGTCATGGTGAATTTTAACCCAAGACAGTTCAAGGCACTACGTGGCATGCATCCGAATCTGATTCGCAAGTACGGGGGGCCATATAAGATCATCGCCAAGGTAGGCAAGATCTCATACAAGCTTGACATGCCATCGTATCTTAAAATCTACCCTGTCTTCCATGCCAGCATGCTTAAGCCATATTATGAAGGTAAGGATGATCCGAGTAGGGGCCAATCAAGTCGAGCGCCAATGACTATCACCGCCTCGCATGATCGGGAGATTGAGGCTATCATAGATTACCAAGTCAGGCTAGAACAAGGGCAAAAGGCCACCGCTATGTTCCTCGTCCATTGGAAAGGGCAATCACCGGAGGAGGCCACGTGGGAACGATATAAAGACTTGTAGCAATTCAAAGATAAGATCCGAGAGTTTATGTAGCAGCATTGCGCCGCGGTCGTCTCAATATTGGGTGGGGGAGAGTGTGATGACACGCCATGTCATCATGCCACATAGGTTCTATTTGGCATATGTTAATGCTATGTGGAAGATTACATAGGAAGAAGGTTAGCATTTGTGAGAAGATTCTAGAGAAGTATGGACATTTCCTTAGGAAGATCCTAGATTTCTATAGATTTGCTAGGAAAGTCCTTGGAATCTTCTAGGTTTGGAGAGAGTTCTAGAGGAAGCCCTTATCTAGTAAATACTAAGAACTTGTGTAACAATTAATATTAACACACCAACCCCTAGGAGACTAGTATATAAAGGGGGTCACTCATTTGTAATTCATCAAACAAACAATTCAAGTTCTCTCTAATACAAAGCTTCCTTTAACAATTCTCTTGTGTTCTTTTCTTCCATTCTCTTAGCGATCTTGAGTGTAGTAAGGCTAACTTGGCATAGCAAGAACGTGAGCAAGTTGTACAAGATCGTAAGCGAGTTGTCAAGTGCCGCATGTGTACTTAGTTATCAACTAAGGACGTGACACTACGCTCGTGTTGAACCAAAACCCCAACCTTCACACATAACATCAAACTCCCAATTTCTTTAAGCACATACAAGATGAGAACTACCACTAGGCAGATGAGAACATTTTTTTTATAATAAGTCAAAAAATACTAAATATTCTCACATCAATTAACATTATTGATCAATTATTTTGACACTATTTACAAGCACCGCAGTTAGTGGGGTTTTACTGGGTATGTTATTGTTGTGGTTGTGGTTGTTATTGTTGTAGTATTTACAAGCACCACAGTGGTACACCTATAATTTCAAAATCCTGGATCTGCCTCTGTCTTGGAGGAAAACTGGGAAAGTACCGCCCCTGTATTAAGGGACTCCTGGTATGATTGAAAAACAGAAGAGAAGTTTTATTATATTCGTGTCTCACACGAAATAAAAATTTTGCCGTAACTAGAATGGAATTATACGCACATACACGCTGAAAACATGAGAAAATTGATGAGATGAATGTTTCTCTAACTTCAAGAAATGCACCTGGACAAAATGACATTCACACTAAAAAATTTAGTATGCACATAAATGTACGTATGGGTAACAGGTTGAACGAAAATAAATTCCATCAAACGTGAATTTTAAAAATAGATTATGACAAAGAGCTTTTATATTTTCTCCATGCCATGTTAAAAATTCTAGTTTTACTCGATACGCCTTTGATTGAAGAGTTAAAAATATGAGTTGTTAAATATCCTGGAATAAAGGAAAACCAAAGTCATTAATAATTAATAGAGCCTGCATGACTTATAGGACACTCATTAAGGAATAAGGAAGAATTAGGGGCCCGTTTGGCCGTAATTCTTTTTTCACTGTTTTACGATTTTTTATTTTTATTTTTTTACTTTTTTCCGTACTCAGTATTTGACAATAAATTTTATAATTTTCACTTGTAGATGAATTTCGAAATTTTTCAAAAATTTGAAAAACTCCAAAATTATTTTTTAAAATTTTCATTTCAAATCAATTACATAAATTAAAAAATAGCCCAAAATTATATTCATATCCAAACACAAACTCTAATTTTCAAATATTATTTTTCACTTAATTTTTTTTTTCATTTTTTTTTTGGAATTTTACATTTCTTATTTCCACACGCCCTCTAGATCTCTCAATGTGTCATTTACCTAGATAATATTTAATCATAGTTTTCGTCAAATTTGATAATAAACTTGTTATATATTAGCGGATATAACAATATTCACCTTTGAGATGAATGGATTAATTTGGTTTAAATATTAAATAAATTTACAAAGAATTCAAGTTTTGCGGGTTGAGAGTATAAAAAATATTTACAGAATCATGTTACTTTTCAGATAAATTACAAGTGAATTTCTTGATAAGCAGTAATGGGTAATTTGGTAAATAGAGTAACCAATCGGCTATAAAAAGTTTAAAAATAAAACAAAAAAGGAAAATCAAAGACTTAAGTCAGCACTTCCGAAAACGCCCCATTCTCGTTCTGTTCACAAATCACTTCCATCAGCTCAGTGGCATCCCAACCTTTTTTTGGCGGGAAAACCTTCATAGCTTGTTCATCAAAGAAATGTATACTTAGATTGAGTTTTGCAAATTGATCGTTGATCAGCTCAACAATGTCGAATATGAAAGTTTGCGCGCTATTCAGACCTCTGAATTCGAAGGAACTCTCTGAGTTTGGCGATGCTGTCTCTGTTCAAGGCATTACCTCTGAGTCCTTCATAATTAAGGTTTTCTAGCTCAAAACTCTATAATCTTACATCAATTTTGAACTTGTGTATGTATCGCAAAAAGTTGGAATTATAGTACTTAATTTTTACATTAGCAATTTAGAATGTGGTTTTTGTGATTTAGTTGATTTTGTTCAATCATTATAGGATGAAAAGGAACAGGAATTTGATTTTACGTTCGACAGAGTTTTCTATCAAGGATCTGAACAAGCTGATATATACGAATTTCTAGCTCTGCCTATAGTCCAAGGTACGAATTGAATTTTGTGAGTGTCGTTATTTAAAAAATGAACTAGTTTTAAATTCAATTACTCTTTTCACTTACAATATTCGTTGTTTGGATGAATTTGAAACTAGGTGCTGTAGATGCAATAAATGGTACGATTATCACTTATGGACAGGTACATGTTTGATTACAGCCTTTTATGTTAGCATGCTGCGGTTTTATATGTGAATTGGAGATTTTCAGTACAAATAGTGCATCTGATTTGTTAATGGACCAACTGTAGAAAGATGAGAACAGAGAGAACACTCAAATCCTAGTGCATAATTGTTAATTTGTTAGTGATTGACATAACTATGCCTCAGTCTCAAACAAGTAGGAGTCGGCTATTTGAATCTTCTACGGACCATGTTACTCCATTTAAACTCATCTCTTGCCAATATTATGAAAATACAAAATAAAAAGTATAGAAGTCATGTATATTTTCGAAATAATTGTTAGTGATTTATAGGAGGAGAAAATTCTTCTTTTCTTTTCCGTATTTTCATTTTTGACAATTCTTTGTTCTTTGTTCTTTTGTTTCTTTCTCAGACCGGAGCAGGAAAGACATATAGCATGGAGGTAAAATGATTTTACAACATTCATGATTCTGCGTTTTGTGAGAGTATTAGCATTATCAACTCTGTTGGTTTAGGGACCAAGCATTGTAGATTGTGAAAGCAAGAACAAAGGACTATTGCAGAGGGTAGTGGATGGACTTTTTGAGGCCATAATGACTTCAGAGAAACCAATCAAATACACAATCAAATTATCAATGGTGACAATCTATTAATTCTTGATGTTATTGTTATTGATTTCGATCTTTTATGTGGGGAGTGCAATGCTACTTTAAGCTCTTAGTCATCAAGGAATGAAAGCGATTTTAAGCAGATTTCTGACTCTCACAGGTAGAGATCTACATGGAGAAAGTAAGGTTTGTATCACGTATCAACACCTGTACCTGAGGAGATTTTCTTGATCCACATCTGTCGCTTTAACTCAATCTCTCTTTACTTGTAACTAAGCATGACTTTAAGTTGTCATTTTCTCTCAGGGATCTCCTCGATTTATCGAAGGACAATATACAGATAAAGGAGAGTAAAGTACATGGAATAATTCTAAGTGGAGCAACAGAAGTAAGATTTGTGCCCTTTCATTGTCTCACAATTTCCTCAAATTGTTATACTATCTTTGTTTTCAAGCATGTAATATGCTCAACTATAACCTGGTATTGTCAGTTTGGATTTTCCTTGGATTGCTTCGCTGGTCCTGTGCTTTTCCACTTGCATAATTTAAATACTTCATTAACTACCACCAAACAGCTGGCTGGCTTGATGTTGGACGCCTGCTTTGCCTAAGTGCTGAACTTTCTGACTTTCAGAAACAACATAGTTTATGGAAAAACTCAATATGCCCTCGATTCACAGCTCAAGTGCTGTATATCTCTTTCTAACTTTCTTTTATGTTTTCAGTGGAAGTTTCTAAAGCCTCCAGAATCTTAAATTGTTTTCCAGGTAGCTATATCCAACACTGCAGAAGCATTACAAAGCTTATCAGTAAGGAAAAAGGGACAATAAATTTCCATTTGTGGTGTTCTATATATTTTGGTTCTGAAATGGCTGTTGATGTTGCAGAGTGGGATAGCTAATAGAGCAGTTGGAGAAACACGTATCCTTGGCCTCTTTTTGTGCATCTTGTTGTTAAGAACATTTCTTCCTTTTAGGTCTCTATTCTGTTTATTCTCCGTTAAATTTTCTTAACTAGTCCAGAAATGAATATGTCAAGCAGCAGAAGCCATTGCCTTTACATTTTTACTGTCCACCAGGAGCTGACAAAGGATAAAAGGTATTATCCCTCAGTAGGTTTGATATACTTGAAAGATCTATCCTAAATATTTGAATTTCCAAGCAGGACCAAATTTGGAAAGCTGATACTCGTTGACTTGGCTGGGTCTGAAAAAGTTGATAAGACCGGAGCTGAAGGTAAAATTCTTGAAGAAGCAAAGACCATCAATCAGTCCCTCACAGCACTTGGGAAAGTGATAAATGCTATGACTAGCAGTGCTCCAGGAAAGCCAACTCATATTCCTTATCGTGATTCTAAGCTCACTCGGATCCTACAAGATGCTCTTGTTGGTTTCTCTTCCTAAGCTCCATTTTCACATACTTCCAAGTTCCAGCCTACATGGTGATCATCTACATTGTGTTTCGCAGGGGGGATACTCTCAGACTGCATTACTTTGCTGTTGCTCTCCGAGCCCTTACAATGCTTCAGAGAGCCTCTTCACCCTGCGATTCGGTGCTAGGTATGCAGAATTAGTTTTCTTTGAACTTGTTATCATAGCATCAAGAAGGGAATAATGAGGGACATAACGCACAAAAGGAGATAGGGGAAATTATGTAAAGACCTCTATTAGCTCTACACTTGAATGGAATTTAGGGATTTCATTTTAGTATTACTTTCACTAGAGTAACTTTGTTTATTTCCTTTATTGTGATCTCGTAAGCTAAAGACGCATGCTGCCATTGTAGTTTTAATCTTGTTTTCGTGTCCCTCCAATTTACATTCAAGAATATTGATTTTGCTCTTATTTTTCTTTCATCAATTTGTCCTCATGTTAGTTTACTTTGTATCCCAAGTAGAGGCAGTTTCAAGTACCTTGGGTCAGTTATCCAGGGGGATGGGGAGATCAACGAGGATGTCACATACCGTATTGGAGTTGGGTGGATAAAGTGGAAGTTAGCATCTTGAGTTTTGTGTGACAAGAGAGTGCCACTGATACTCAAAGGTAAGTTTTATAGAGTGGTGGTTAGACCGGCTATGATGTATAGGTCTGAGTGTTAGCCAATTAAGAACTCACATATCTAGAAGATGAACGTAGCAGAAGTGAGGATGTTAAGGTGGATGTGCGGGCACACTAGGATGGATAAGATTATGAATGCTGATATTCGGGAGAAGGTGAGCGTAGCTCCCATTGATGACAAGATGCGAGAAGCGAAGCTCAGATAGTTTGGGCACGTACAGAGGAGAAGCTCAGATGCTTGGGTAAGAAAGTGTGAGCGGCTGGCTTTGGAAGGCACGAGAAAAGGTAGAGGGTGGCCTAAAAAGTATTAGGGAGCGGTAATCAGGCAGGACATGGCGTGACTTCAAATTTTCGAGGACATATTTAGATCAATGTCTAGCCCAGAATTAGCCAGAACTACTCCAGTGAGTCCTCCTATGGTGAACAAAAAGATGAACCCTACAACAAATAACATGACAAAGCGGGCACTACAGTAAGACGTGAAAACACCCGATCCCATTCCGACCTCGATATGTGGAATCGTCTTGCGCCATATGTACTGAGATTGTTCGGGAGATATGGTCCAAGCCCGGTGAAAAGAAAGCATAAGAAGAGTCTGATAATGGTCGGTCTTTAAAGGCCCTTAAGAAAGAGAAGCCTAAAGGCACAATCAAGGGAAGGCTCAGACAGCTGCCAAAGGGCTTCCCTTAGGGGACCTATTATACCGCTTCCCGGAATAGAAGACAAGAAGGAGGCTTGACATCACTCGTGACACAAGAAGGTCAGCTCACCAAAGGGGGAAGAAAGGTCAGCACTTGAGAGGCTCGCTTCGATCAAAGGTGGGAAGAAAGGTCAGCACTTGAGAGGCTTGCTTCGGTAGCCCTTGATAGAAAGTCGTGGAGGTCGAGTATTAGAGTTGTAGGTTAGGAGGTAGTTGAGTCTATTTCTACGTCGTACCTATGTGAAGCTAGTCTGATAGGATTTTTGTCTTAGACTGCTAGTGGTTAATATTGTATTCTCACTACTCTTTTGTTTTTCATATTGCCGGGTCTATTTATTGGCTATCGCTTTTGCTTTTCATCTATTTTTTGGTCTTTATGATACTGTTATTATTCCTATGGTTTCTGTTGGTGGTACTGATATTATCTCGTTTCATCTTCTTGAGCCGAGGATCTTTTAGAAACAGCCTCTCTACTCCCTCGGGGTAGGAGTAAGGTCTGCGTACACACTATCCTCCTCAGACCCCACTAGTGGAATTTTACTGGGTCCTTGTTGTTGTTGTTAGTTTACTTTGTATCAGCCAATCATGTCTAGCTAGCAATATTTCTGCATCTAGGACATTTTATTTGGCATTAACTGGATATGGCACTGTGAATGGTCAATGAGTCTAGGTAGTGCAGCATGGATCTGTTAATTATTAATGATGTTTGAACAAAGATTCCACTAAAAATTACAATAATAAATTCTACATATGGTTCTCTTTGTAGAATGCAGAGCTTCTTTACTTGTGTAAGGTGTACTTTCACAAAAGCTAGAAATAATCAGAAATATTCATATGAAAGTGATTATTCAAAACTGAAAATATGTATCATCTTTCACCAAAAACCCCAAATCTGCTCTCTCTCTCTCTCTCTCTCTGGGCTATCTCATTTGTGGCATGATCTAGTTTTATCTAAAAGTTATGCTCTTTGCTGCTCGCTGGTACTTGTAAAGTACCTGCTATTTCGCTGTGTTACATACCAGTATGGCTCTGAGTTCTACTTTCTGTCCTATCAAGCAGAGCAAAGCATATAAAGGCAACAGTACATGTTAGTTGCAAGGAAGATCTAGACAATAACAAGGAAGCAATCGTCTCAACCAATGTAGATGAGTCCAGGGAGAGGATATTGGAAAAGGTCTGAATTTCTTGATTCATGTAATTTAAGCTATCCTTGGTTACTCTACTATAAGCTAATCATCTTATTAACATAGATGAGAGAGAGAATAACTGCCGAAGATGTTAAATTGCTTGAGGAATTATTTGTACTGGAGGGGATTCTCTTTGATCCCAATTCAGTTGAGGAGATAGAAGTTGCGTATGAAGATATTACGTCAAGGACAATCTCATCATTATATAAAATCGTGGAAGAGCTGAGTACAGTTGCGGAGAAGGTAAAAGATGCATAATTTGGAAATTCACTGTGAAATAAATAGGGATCTATTCAGTTGGATTTCACTGATTTCCTTTTATTTGTTCTGTTATTTAACAAATAAGAAAAAAATCAAAAAATATATTAGGGGCAACTGAGCTTTGCCAGAAGTTCTTTTTGGCATTAAAAGCTCTTCTGCGTCGGCTTGTTATAAATGCTAGTGTGTTTGCTGGAAGTACTTTGGAAGGATTTTTCCAGAAAGATTTCGTACTCGGCAAAGGCTTCAATGAGTAGGTTAGGAAGGGGTTCTGCATATATTTTTTGACTTAAGACATTTTTTGGTACAAGATTCTGCGGGATTTTTGAAAAGAATGAACCAACTATACCTAAAGAAGGCTGAAATTGAGAACATTAGAGAACGATGTATGATTTCCGTAGAAGTAGTAAACTCCTCCACATTTTTTACCTTCCCTATTTTTTTTCCCTTCAAGTACGAGCAGAAGATTGATGTTAAATAAGTAATAGTTTATGGGTCACATACTGTTTTAGAGAACATTATCAATTGGACAAAACTATTGTATAGTAGAACCAGCAAGAAAAATATGTAGGGAAGTATTTTAGAAATTTATGATTAGAACTCTACCATTCAAAAGCTTTTCCCACTCAATCGCATAATTCTTTTACGAGGCGACTTTTCCTAATGACTATATATAGAGCTTCATTTTGATTGTGCGTGCCGTATAAATCATTTTGCAGTTAAAGAGGGAGAATGCCGCTCTTAAGGCCAGCTTGAAAGCTTCTGAAGAGTCTTATCTACATCAACTCGATAGAAGGCCGCTCTGCTTGATTCTCTGAATGTAATAATGGACCTTCATTTTTAAAGACGGCGTTTAAGACATGAATATCGAATAATCGATATTAGGTTGTTTGGCATCTGATGCTTTTGTTAATCCATCATAAAAGGTAGTAGGTCGTTTGTCTTTTTGTTGGCTTACTCACCAATCATATTATCATCTTCCATCAGGCATTGAACCATGCAAAGTGGTAAAACAGCTACAACTCATCCGCAGTTACAAGGTGAATTTCGTTTCAATAAGATTAACTGATTTAGGCATAAAACACTCTTTACCTCGTTGGCCCTAATCTTTTTACAATTTGCCCACTTTGTAAAGACTAAAAAGTGACCTATTTGCGTACGTGGTAAATGGTAATCTACTTTATGTTGAGTTCAAAATAGTCTCGTCAAAATAAATTCTGAAGGTAAATATAGAGTATTTCTTCCTAAAATGAATTATGAATTAAAGGGAGTCAGAAATTTGGGTGATAGCAAAGAGCTATTCAATCTTCGGTTTAGTTGGACTGATTTCCCCAGCCAAGAAAGACGTGTTTTTGATATTATTTTGCTGAATTGAGGTGGCGCTAGTAGTTTTCCGCTTTTATAGAAACCGAAAATCTGAAATGCTTTATTTTATTTTTGGCTTTTGGTTAAAAAATAACTTTTGCAAAAAAACTCGTCAAATTTTTGAAACAAACACCACCTTAGATTGGTGCACTTTCTTTTTATGGACATGTAACAGAAGCCTTAAAGGTTTGCTATTCGTAGAAGCAAGTTCCAATTTTGCTTGTAGAAAGGAATTGAAGCCTTTTGGTCCCATTTGCCTTAGCCTTATGAGATTTATAATTTTCACAGTACTCAAATTTGTTCTCAAGCAATATTTTGTAAAAAATGCCCTTATTCTTGCCAGGACTTTCGTTGATTGTGTAAAATATAAATGTAAACTAACTTGATAAAGAAGTATAGAATACCACTTATGGTTAGAGAAATATATTGTATGCATGGCAATCATTCAAACTAAGCTCAGATTAAATTAGTATAGATCACATGCGGAGAGTTGGCGACTTATTTAGTAGTTTACTAAAACATGTTTGACCCTCCACCTAATGTTCGTATTCTTCATTATTTTCTCTATTTGGATCCACCTATTAATTAATTAGTTAAATGTTTAAAAGTAGAAATATTACACTTGGGAAGTCAAGAAAAAAAGGAAACGACAATGCTAATCATAGAGATACGTTGAAGACAAGCAACTTTCAAATGTACACGCCTGACCAAGATTGAGTAAAACATGACATCTGAATTGAATGCACTGACTTTTTAAAATGTCTTTGTACAGAACTATATCGCCAGTTTTTTCAGCTGAGTAGTTTATAAGTGGTTAGAGAAAAGAACACAGAAAATGACAACTTTTACCTGATTGATTACAGGAAAAATGTCCTAATCAATCTGTTTTCTCGTTAATGGAAACACTTCTAATCATAGCATCCATTATCTTAGAAGGATATGTAAGTAATTGAACAACAACCCATTCACAATCTTTTAACCTTTCCCACATCTCAAAGATAACTTGAAAGTGAAACAAAAGCCCACCAGCTCTTATTTTAAGATGATGAAAAATCCAACCTTTCTGTCAAAGAGGCAACAAACATGGCTTCTTCAACCACTTGTTTCCTCCACATTCTTGCCCTCTTCTTCATCTGCTTGCCTCTGGCCAACACCATAGATTTCAATTATCCTGCAGTCTTCAACTTTGGTGATTCAAATTCTGATACAGGAGGCCTTGTTGCAGGTGTTGGAGATCGCCTGGAGCCACCTAATGGACAGACTTATTTCCAGAAACCATCTGGGAGGTTCTGTGATGGCCGGCTAATCATCGATTTCTTGAGTAAGCTTCCCAATTTAATGTGCCATTTTTCTTTTGGGGGGAAATGGTCTTCATTTCAAGTTTATATTGATATCTTGGTGTTTCTTTTGGTTGTGTATTTTTGTTGCAGTGGATGCAATGGACCTTCCATTCTTGAACTCCTATTTGGATTCCATTGGTGCACCAACTTTCAGAAAAGGAGTTAACTTTGCAGCTGCTGGTTCAACCATACTTCCTGCCACTGCATCATCTGTTAGCCCTTTTTCATTTGGGATTCAAGTTGCTCAGTTTTTCAGGTTCAAGAATCGGGTTCTCGAAATCCAAGCTAAGAGTAAGTTTGATCATCTTTTGATTATCAGAACTGTTTTTACATAACATCAGAATCCTATATCTTGTGAGATTTTATTGATTTTCTTTGCAGCCAGAAAATATGATAAGTATGTTCCGGCTCAAGATTTTTTCCAGAAAGGTCTTTACATGTTTGATATAGGCCAGAATGATCTTGCTGGTGGATTTTACTCCAAGACATTGGATCAAATTCTAGCTTCAATTCCAACAATTCTCGTAGAATTTGAAGATGGTGTCAAGGTCAATTCTAATAACAGAAAATTATGCAGAACTCCTGTAGTTATTATGAAATGAAGTGCTAAACTTATTTCTGCTTCCTTTTTGACATCACAGAGATTGTATGACCTAGGAGCCAGGAATTTCTGGGTTCATAACACCGGTCCTTTGGGGTGCTTAGGTCAGAATATAGCCAAATTTGGAACTGATTCATCAAAGTTGGATGAGCTAGGATGTGTTAGCTCACATAATCAAGCTGCAAAAATTTTGAACCTGCAGCTTTACGCCCTTTGCAAGAAGCTGCAGAGCCAGTATGCAGATGCAAATATCACTCATGTCGATATTTTCACCATCAAGTCTAATCTGATAGCAAATTATTCCCGATATGGTAATTTTCTTTACTCACAATGCCAAAAAGAAAACATTATAGTGTGCAATTTCTTTGGGATTTTAGAATTTTTGAGAACTAAATGAAGTTACGAAAATTGTTCCTTCATCAATGTCATATGAACTTTATTTAACATTTGATCTTTTGCTTTTATGTATCGCAGGATTTGAGCAGCCCTTAATGGCTTGTTGTGGATACGGAGGACCCCCACTCAACTATGACAGCAGGGTTGCCTGTGGTCTGACAAAGGTGATCGATGGAAACAATGTCACGGCCAAAGCATGCAATGACAGTAGTGAATATATCAATTGGGATGGAATTCACTACACAGAAACTGCAAATCAGTTTGTTGCCTCACAAATTCTCACAGGAAAATACTCTGATCCACCCTTTGCAGACAAGATGCCTTTCCTTCTTAAACTGAAGTTTTGAGCAATTAACATGCTTGTCGTTGTTTTATTCTCTGTATAGTACTTATATATTCTGATTTATTAATGAAATTCATAGCTTCCATGAATGCCTGAAAATATAGAACAGCTTATCGATCATGTGATGAAATGTACCACACTAAATTAGTAAATTCCCCTTTATATTATCAGCAATGCAACAGGGAAGTTTCTCTACTCTCATAAAAAGAAATGGTAATATCCCTTGTGTTAGGGGAGGTCCAAAATTTTCATTTTTATCCTTTTTAAAAATTTTCATGAATCAGTTATTTCAAAATAGACCATTTGTACAAGATGATATACATGCTTACTCAAGTCAAAATGAAATCTTCCAGAATCAGACAGTTCACTTCTTTGAAACATATGCATAGTATTGAGCCATGGGAACAACGAAAGCAATCACTAACAAGCCACCAACGACAAGTGTGAATTGTCCTCTTTTCTCGTCTGTTTCCTCTCTGGATTTGAAGTTGGACTCTCTTTTGTTATCCTTGAGCTGGGGACCACCAGGATCAGGAAGGCCATCAATGGCCGCAACAAGACGTTTGGCAGTGCTGTAAACGGCTTCATTGTACTTCTCTTCAGTAGCCAAGACTACAAACATTGAAACCAATAGCCCCACCATCAGAAACAAGAGCATTAGTGTACAAGTTTCATTATGAAACAAAAGATAATTGTTCTGGAGTCCTTAATTCTTCTATATAAACAACTGAAATAGAGAGATCTTCCACTTCTTTTAACTTCTAAGCAAGCTTGCCTCTTAAAGGTATACTCCAAGTTAATGAATACTCATAAGCCCCATGGACCAACTAAAGGGAAGTTAAAGAATGGAGCACTGAAGGCTCGCAAAGTAGATATCAGTAGCAAGCAACGACTTCTTAACCCCCATATCTTTCGCAGAACATACTGCAAGAGTACTAATTAACCCTACTGTTAATGACTAGCTAAAACAATAGGAGTGGACTGATCTCTTAGTCGATAAGCTGACAAGCATCCTTTTCCAGTGTGCATTTTTCAAACAAAAATGACAACTATAGGATAAAATTCACTCTTCAAAAAACTACTCGTCCCATAGTTTCCGCTTGTTGTGGAATCTAGCTACTGAGATTCTATTTCAAGCCACTAATTAGTCTTTTCACCTTTATTAGCAGCCCTGGTAATTTGTTGTTAATCTCGAAATACAACAATAACAATCAAAGTTGATACCTGACCTTTGTAGTTTTTGTTTCATTTGTCATGATATTCAAGATTATGAATGGGTATTCTCCAGCAATACTTCAAGTCTCAGACTTTCAACCTTCTTGGTACTTTAATTGGACCGCAAAAAGCCAAAAACTATCTTAATGCATACATATCTACCAGGTCCAAGCTATAGAAAGATTCCTTGAATGAAGGAAAATTTGCCACAATAATGAGATCTCGCGACAAAATAGCAGAGAAGCAAATCCTGCTACCTTAGAATATGCTCCTCAGTGAAGTTTAAAGGAAAAAAGAAAGACTAGGGAGAATAAATGGATATGTTTCCATTTGTTTCATGTTTACATGTCATTGCCATCCAACTAGAATCATTTTTGTTAAACAATTCTTATTGCATAAACTGAATAACTAACAAGAAAAAATCCTCATTCCTCCATTAGATTCTCTCAAGATCATTACGAATACATAAACAACTAGGCAACTCTTTTGGAGTTTGTGTTTCTAGGTACTGTTGGTAACTCCATAGACATGACAAGGTGTTATTTGTGGCTTGAATTATTTCCTTGTATTTTTTAGGAAACCCATAGTCCCTATAAGTTTAGGAAAATCCATTGTCCAAATAGAATTGGGAAAGGAAAACCTATAGTCCTTGTCAAATTGGGAAACCTTTCTCATGTATGTTTGGGA